GCTCGGAGCTAATCTTCCCTTCTGAACTTCCACTCCGAGCATATTCTCTTTTCACAGGGTTTGTAACGCCAGAGCTTTTCACTTCAGAGATTAACTCTTTCTCTCGTCCGGAATATTTCCTCGAGGGCATCACGCAAATGTCTTACTGACCATACTGCAGTATTCCATTTCTTTTCATAGAATTATTGCGGTACCCATCTTGATAACTTCTATCGCAGTTTCAATTTGGGTCTGCTCTACATTCTCCCCCAGGTTCTCAAGTTGCCGCAGAATTTTCCCAGTCCTTGTAGAGTCTCCCTGATATTCTTGTTTTGGTCCATTGTTGGTAACTTCTTCAACTCTCTGTGAAGTTCCCTTTTCATTGCGTCTTGGTCACCGAATCTTCAACACCGAGAGTACGGTGTAATAATTCAGTGGAGAGAGGGTATAGCCGGCCACAGCGGCGTACGCTTTGCCTCTAAGACTCGAAAATAGGTAATTCAGCTTTTAAATATCGGGGACTGGCTGCTCATCGACTGCTGCTTAAAAGCTTGAGAAAAATTTTAGTCACCGCGTTAAATCTCCATAAAAATGACGCCGTTTCAGCTTTGAAAGCTTTACGACCCGAACACCGCCGCGGTGATTGTTCGTGTTCTGGAGCGCTTGAGAATCCGTGAGGCGCCGAATTATATTGCTTAGACTTGCCATCTCTGATCCTAATACATCCAGTGTCTCTTTTCCACTTTCAAGCACGTGCAAAAAACTGGTGGTATTTTCTAGATATTCATTGTAGACTCTTTCTTCAGCCTCTCTTTCTGCTGGGTCAAGTCTTTGAATAAGCTCAATCCAATTATTATTCAGTCGGTCTAACTGTTCCACAGCTGCTCCGATGCGCTTTGCTGAGTGTTCCAACATTTGCTGTTGCTCCTCATAATGCTCAATTTGCTGACTAACCGCGAGTCCCTCTTCCGGCTTTGCTAAACTTGGTAACTCCTGTAAATATCATTGCAGCCGGGTCTTCGTTAAACTCGCAGCCCTTCTCAAACCTCCTGACATGGTGATTCCTCTACAGATCGGCCTTTCAAGCCTTCCCGGCCGATGCACCAAAAATTGCTGCGTTGGTTAACTAACCTGATTCAGCAACTGGAACTGACTGGCGTGAAGAAGTGCGTAGCCAAGCAACTGCTGCACGCAGATTCGCGTGGCGGTGGTCGAATCCCAGCAACTCTGGTCGCAGTTCCCCCTTGGTGGCAGACTCCAGGCATCAAAGCCAGCAAGTCCCGAAAGAAAGCAAAAGCCTGGTGTTTAAGAGGCGCGAGCTTATATAGCGTCACTAACGACAATCCATTAGCGAAGCTTTACAAAAACTAAATTCCGCTGACGGAGATCCGTCCGCTGATATGCAAGTACAAAAACACTCTTTCACAGCAAAGAACACGTTATCACAAAATCACATTCAGTCTGGAGATTTTGAAAGGAAAAATCACATTCCTCTCCCCCTCCACAGTAACACCAAAAAAAGCATATATCACAATCCTTTCGTTTCCTCATCGCAATCGTCGCGACACGCCCCACACACCCCCCGCCCCCACTCCCTATTTTACGAGGCAGGAGAGACTAGGGAAGGAGGTACCAAGGAGGGGATCCAGAATATGAGGCAGGTGGGGGGGGGG